AAGTTGCTCAGTCCACCAGACGTAAGAATGTAAGACTGATAAAAGACAGTAACAAGTAATTAAAAAAAACCCATTAGAAATGGTGCAGCGCTTCACCATACAAAATGGTAGGAGTTCAACAATAGTTCTTATACTGCATATTGTTTTCAGATCAGTTGTTCTGATTACCCAATTCAAGCATGCAAAATTGGTCAAGTAAAAAGAAAATTTTAAGCAGTGACTGTTCTTTTCAGTAAACCACAGACATCAGCAATTCAACTATCCCAGCTATCTTTGTAAATACATATAAATTTTGTTTTTCATTTTTAAGAGAAAAGAAAAAAAAACAAAATAACATTTAATTTGTCTTTATATTTTGGGTTAAATTATATGAAATTGCCACTTTCGTATATCAAAAGCAGCCAAATATTGGCAATTCACCCTATAAAACAATAGTATCTTCACTTTTTAGATGAAGATATTGAGTATATACTTGCCCAAGATTAGATTAAGAGCTATCAGACAACTACCTTAGTTCTAATGTCTATAAACCCATTTGCAATATGGGCTGCTTTCAAACAAAGAATATTCTAGATGGCTAGAAACAGGATTAGCAAGAACACAACCACATGGTAACAGGGTCTATCACTGCCAATTACATCACCCAAATTATATCCTTTTCTAAAAAATCCCTGCAGAGTTAGAACATTATCTCTATCTCACTGATATGAAAATACTCAGAGATATCATGTCAATAGTTCAAAACTAATAGTTTATAAGAGGCATTAACAGGATTTAAACCATCTCTGCCTGATTCCAAGATTCTCCACTAAAACCATATGATAGCTTAGTGATTTATCCGCTCCCAGCTCTCCTGTCAGTAAACACCAATATCTACAAGTCTTTTCCTCTGACTCTCCTAGGTCTACTTTTCTCTAGGCTAGACTTTCCTGAAAGATGAGTCCACTACGTTCAGATATTTTCCTCAATACCTCTCTTCTAACCTTCATGACTTGCAATCCCCAACCTCGCATTTAAAAATGTAACTTGTTAAAAGATTAGAATCCCTGTACCTGGCAACAATGACTCTAAGGGTAATTTGTCATCATAGGCTCTGACTCAAATTTCACTGAAGACAGAAAATTACTCTTACATAGTAGAAAAAGAGGATTTGCGTATTACTAAGTGAGATAGCACTCACCTTCATGTACTAGGTGTTGTCCCACAGACGCCCTACTGATTCAAAAGATCTGCATCAAGGGCAACTCTATCCGCTCCAGCACATCAGGACAGAGAGGATGATTTGGACTTTATCCTCACAAAGACGGGTATTTCCTCTCCAGGTGTCTGAAGGCTTTTCATTTGCTTTTAAGCCCAGCCCAATTCAGAGTGGCACTCACCCACTCTTTGCTGGGAAATGGACTACATTCTTATAACTGAAACGAACAAACAAACAAATAATCATCTGCATCTGTTATATCACTCAATTTTAAAGAAAAAGTACCATGTGAAAGAACCTTAAATAACTGAAAGAATGATTAATTTTAAAGTTTGTTTAGAAAATCCACATGGTAATAGATGACATGCTGATAGTATCTTCAGCTCGAAAAAGAAATATGCAATCATGTAATTATCTTTAAACAAATAAGGAGTCAAAAGAAAGAAAATAATGGTAGCTACCTCTAAAAAGTATGCAACCATAAACAATTGCAATTGCAATTATACATGAAAATGTATAATTATTATATATATCTAAAGGAAAATTCACTGAATTAAGAGGTAAGAACCCCAACATAGCCACTAATAATGATGATTAAAAAACACTATGTGGATCTCTTATTATGACTCAAGGATAATAATAAGAACTTTAAATTAATTATCTCATTTAATTCTATGACACTGAAGTAACTTTATCCCTATTTTACATATAAAGAAACTAAGGCCAGGGGGCTGGGGATTTAGCTCAGCGGCAAAGCGCCTGCCTGGCAAGCGCAAGGTCATGAGTTCGGTTCCCGGTACCAGAAGAAAACCGAAACTAAGGCCAAAACAATTGGGATACTTTCCAAAGATAAGTGTCAGAGACAATCATCAAATCAAGGCAGCCTGACTCTGTTCTATAAGCAAAGGATTCATTTAGATGATTCCTGAGACCACCTTGAGTATTACAGTTTTTGCAGCCTTTCATAACTGAGAAAATCATGAATAAGCAGACTAGGAAGATTCTGTGTGAACCAATGTGAGAGTCAGAACCTCTAAGGAAACTCAGATGTAAGAGGGCCAGTTCACTTTGGAAGTTTTACTTCCAGGAGTACCACAAAGTTTTCACAGCCCTGATTGGGGGAGAATTCCTTCAGTCTTCTGCAGTGGGGAAGTGTAACCACTTAAAATGCATAAGAACATTCTCTTCTTAGCAAGGCCTGCCCTCAAGAGAAACTATCTCACCAGAGCCTAACCTAATGAGAGAAAGGAAATACCCAAGTACTTCTCTATTTTGTACCCCGAAGGAGGTTAAAAAAAAAAAAAAAAAGAGAGATAAGAAACAAAAAAAACAAGAATCATCTGTAAAGTTCGCAGTCCATGGAGCACAGGCTCACTAAAAGACAGACCTAATCCTGGAGCTTTAGAACACTTCCTGTCCGCACCCCACCTACACCATACCACTACATCACTAAAGGCCTATTTAACACATTTCCTTTTGCCTAGTACAACACACCTGCCTTTCAACAAAAAATTGTAAAGGCAAAAAATGCAGTTTAAAACAGCCAGTATCACAACCAGACCAATATGGCAAGGATCCTGGAATTATCAGACTATGACTCAAAATGACTATGATTAATTAATGTTAAGGGCTCTAATGGAAAAAGAAGAAATATGTAAGAACAAATGGATAGCATATGAGGACAGACGGAAATGTGGTGGTGGTTTTGTGGTGTAGGAGATCAAGCCCAGGCCCTTGCACACACTTGGCAAGCGTTATACTGCTGAGATATATCCCCAGCCGAAGGCATGGAAATTCTAAGGAAGAATAAAAAAGAAATGCTAGAAATCAAAAACACTGTCACAAAAACAAAGACTCTCCATGAGTTTCTAGTAGAACATTCCTTTTAACTGAATTTTTCATTTTCTATGTTTTTATTGACACGAGGACCCTCTACTTTTGTCTAATACTCAAATCATCCAGATTCTCAGTGATATATCCTGTGAGAGTGAATCCATCCTCTATATGACTAGTCTCTTCCTGGACCCAGACACAAAGGGGGTTTGGGAGTAGGCACTGGATCTAGCAGGAAGTGGGGGATAGCAGTAGATTTCTAGAAAGAATTTAACTCTAAAATGAATATCCTGAAGAAAGGATATCTTGCATACAGGATAGAGGGGAATGTGATTGTCTGTCCTCTCCAAATTAAGGATGGGCTTAAGTATAGATACATTTGTTGAAGGAGGTGCTTTCCCCCTGACAGCCTCCATCTCCCCTCTGAAATAGGAAAAACATCCTTCTGCTAAAACATCTCAGGACCATTGTAATGTTTTGAAATAGCTAATGAGAGAAATGTACTAGGGACCAGATCTTGCTGAGGAAAAGGACGGCTCAGTAGCATCCAGAATCCTACACTGCCAGGCGTGTGGTACATCTCTATAATCCCAGCACTCAGGAGGCTGAGACAGGAGGATCACTGTGAGTTTGAGGCTAGCCTGGATTATATAAGTGAGTTCAAGGCTGCACTACATAGTGAGAAGCTGCCTCAAAAAAATAGAAAAATTTGAATATTGTAATTGTTCAGAATTCAGTAATTCTAAATGCTTTTTCTTCTAAAGAATGGAACATTCTTTATTTTAGAATGATCATTGCTTTAAAAAAATTCTCATATTTCTGTAGCACTCACCCGATAACTTACATTTTTATATTATTTTAAGTGAATAGAACTATGGAGCTAGATCAAAACCTACTGTCCTAGCACTGCCTTAACTAGAGGTTGCAAATATGTTGCTGTTACTGTAGTGACTCCCTCCCTCTCTTGTAATAATCATGGCAATAGCTAATCACACACCAATCTGTAAATTAATAACCCAAATCCTTAAAGCTATAAGAATCAATGGTAGCCTTTCTCATCCAGGTTACCTGTGTGAACCACAAAACACAGAAGATATGTGACTATTCACTTTTACCAAGAACAGAACATAATTAGTACCATTTTAGATGTATAGAAGCTCATTTCATATCATATACACTAAATCTATATATAATGAATGCTTTAGGGGCATAGGATTTAAATCTCCCTCACAAAACCCCAGAAAGGTAAGCAGAAGAGCATTTAAAATTACTGAATCCTGAACAATGGCAATATTCTTTTTTTTTTTTTCTAGTTTTTAGAGGCAGTTTCTAACTATGTAATGCAGGCTGGCCTGGAACTCACTTATATAACCTAGGCTGTCCTCAAACTTACAGCGACCCTCCTGCCTCAGCCTCCCAGGTGCTAGGATTATAGACATGCACCACATGCCTGGCAATTACAATATTCTTTTTTTTTTAATTACAATATTCTTGAAATGCATTTGTGATCATATGAACAGAACCCCTGACTGATAATACTCCTTTAGATGAATAAATTCTGATTTCTTTGCAAACAAATGAATCTTTAAACTATATAGTTATTCCTTCTATAGTTCCCACCTCCAATTCCATACCTCTAAGAGGCAACAAGCCCATTTTCAGGGCGTGGAAACTTAATAGGTTAATCACAGAATGTAATTGTATTTCCCTTAACTCAAAAAAGAAAATTGTAGTAAAACGCCAAAACCTCTGTGTACATAATTCCACTTTGGTGAGAACAAGGATGCAAGTAAGGCACTTTAGCAGGGTTTTCTAAAATCTCCTTTCCTGAAATATAATATATTCATTTAAATTCTTTTTCATGGGAATACAAATGGACTCCATTACATTATTATGCCAAGAACTAATGTAATATCACTCTCTTGGAATTCCACAAACCTTTTAAAAATTTGCCTCATTATTTACTCTTCAAATATCTTTGTTTGAGTAAAGGAATAAAGGCAAATTCATTCCTGGAAATTAGCATCACCCTGATACCACCCTGATACCACCCTGATACTCAATAACAACAATGGCCAATCTCCTTAATGAACAGATGCAAAAACTCTCAACAAAATACTGGTAAACAGAATGCAACAAATCATTAAAAAAACCTATATCATGACCATGTTGGCTTCATCTCAAGGATGAAGGATGCTTCAACATATGTAAATTAATAAACAACACATCACATAAACAGAAGCAAAGATAAAAATCACACAATTATCTCAATAGATTAAGAGAAAGCCTTTGACAAAATCCTCCATTTATGATAAAAAAACTGAAGAAAATAGGTATAGAAGGACCTTATCTCAAATGGACAAAAATCATTTATGATAGACCTACTGCTAATATCACACTAAATGGAGGGGGAGCTATCCCTCTAAAATCACACACATCTTGAATATGTAAGGAACTGGAAAAAATGACAACACAAAATAGAAGTCCCAGTCAAAAATTTGACAGTTGAAATAACACTTCTCAAAAGAAAAAGCATAAATTGTCAATAAATACATGAAAAAACGCTCATCATCTTTGATCATTAGAAATGCAAATCAAAACAACACTGAAATTCCATTTACTCCAGAAAGAAATGCTATCATTACAAACTCAAAACCAACAAATGCTGGCGAGACTGTAAGGAAAAGGGAACTCTTTTACATTGCTGGAAATGTAACTTGATACAACCACTATGAAAATAAACTTGCCTCAGTAAACTAGAGATTTCATTTGACACAGCTACACCTCTTCTGGATATCTTCCTGAAAAGTAGACATCATATTACAGCAATATGTTCATACTCATGTTAACACCAGCACAATTCACAAAAGCTAAATTTTGGATGCATCCCATATGAGCATCAACAGATGAATGGAGAGGGAGGAGAGAGGCAGAGAGGCAGAGAGAGAGAGAGAAAGAGAAAGAGAGAGAGAGAGAGAGACAGAGGGTAATTTTGAGTCATTTGTAGGAAAATATATGCATTTTTAGACCACAGTGCTAAGTGAAATAAATCCAACACATAGACTTAAATATTGCATGGTTTCCCTTATATGCAAAACCCAAAATATAAATAACTTAAAGAACAAAATAAAAGAGAGATGATAGGAAACAGGGAAGTAGACTTTGTGGAGATAGGGAGGGGACTGAGAACCAGAGGAGAAGGAAGTACTAGGAGGGAAGGTGGAGGTAAAAATGATTAACATGTGAGTACGTATGTATCAATTTCCCCAAGATGAATGCAATTATTATATATTGCAAACATATACTAATAGATAATTTTTTAAAATGCTATATTGGACACACACACATACACACACACACTTTCAGACCCATGAATAGAAAAAT